CCCCCGCCTCGAACGTGGCCACGGAACATTCCAGCCTTTGGCTGCCCAGGCTCTGGCTGCTCTTAATTATTAACCTGATGAGGATTTGTAATAAGAAACCAGCAGCCGGAACTCTCCGTTGACAATTGGTAGCATAATACAAGACCTCGTAATTTTCCAGTTCTGAATGTGTATCGTAGGCGGCCGGGTGCCAGCCACCCAGGTGAGCCATCGTCCAGGCTCACAAAACCCCGTGGAGTGGGCACTCCTGTCCGCGTTAGCCCCGCTTTACAGCTGGGGAAACCGAGGCACCGGGAGGCTAGCACCGCAGTCAGTGAGTTAGTCAGTGGCGGAGCCAGAGCATCGCCGGGCCTGTCTCCCTCCCTTCTCCGCCCCGAGCATCTTGGCTCCCTGGGCGCCTGCAGCGCTGCTTCTCGGTCAGAACAGTTGACTGGGACTTGGATGCTCCCTCCAGGTGAGGTGGCCGAGCAGCTGGAACTCCAGGAGGCCTCCGCCCGCCCCGTGGGGACTGGCAGGTTACCGTGACCCGTGTCCTCGCAGCTCCCCTGGCAGGCCCAGAGCGAGGAGGCCAGTAGCTTAACAGGAGGAGGAGCTGACTTCTCCCTGGGAGCCCAGAGACCCACCCTGGGTCCTGGCTCGGGAGCCGGGCCGGGTGGAGAGCCACGGTAGTCGCGTGAAGGAGCAGCGGGAGGCCTGCAGGCCTCTGAGCACAGTGGCAGGGTCAGGGTCAGGCCTCTAACGCTCCCCTCTTAGGAAGAGGTGACCCCGGAGGCCAGGGCCCAGGCGAGGAGGCTGGCGATGACCCAGGGCAGAGGGGCCGAGGGTCCTAGCGCAGCAGCCGTGGAGAAGGCGTGGGGGGAGGCCTGGGTGTCTGCGAAGAGCTGATTTCTTGGGCATCCTGACACCTGGAATGGTCAGGGTGTCAAACTCCGCGAGCTCGCTTGCATAACCTGCGTCTCTCCCCTCCTCCCCCCACCCCAGCCCTCGCTTCGGGCCTCACTGCTGTGTAAGTTTCCATTAAACCCACTTGTGAAGCAGGGAGGTCAGGGACTTTGGGCAGGAATCCGAACTATTCAAGTGCTCTTTTAAAAGCAAATAAAATTGTTTTCCATCGATGTCATCGGACTCACGCCTCAGCCGAGAATTTCAAGGCCCTCCATTGCATTCCACCTACGCTCCCCACACACACCTCCCCAGTTCCTCTCCTCTCCCTACATGGCGAAGGCTCACCGCCCCCCCACCCCCCACGCCATCCGCAGACTCCCTGACGCTGTCTGGCGTCCCCCCACCTGGAATGTGCCCCCCACTCCACCAGCGCCGCTGGTTACCTCCCCCGTTCATTCCGTCTCGGAGACGGTGAACCCCTGCTCTGTGCTGGCGGCTCAGCCCTCGTCTCCTGGGGGAGTCCGCTGCTGCGCGCGTGGGGAGTGGCGGGTGGCGGCAGAGGGAGGCTTTGGGGGCACAAAGGAGTGAATCCCTGAGCACCTCCGGGCCCTGTGGCTATTTGGGCCGTGGGTGGGGGTGAGCACCTGCCAATTATCAGTGAGATGGTCACACCTGCATCATCTGCTTGGGCGCCCCTTGCCCCTCAGTTTTTCACCGATTCCTGTCCCACCCAGTGTCATTCCATGGAAAGAATATGGCACTGGGCTCCCGGGGCTCTAGGTTCAGATCCTGCCTCTACCTCTTCGTGACCGTGTGACCTTGGCCAGGCCATCTGGTTTCATCCTTGTGAAAAGAACAAAGTAACCCCTATCAAACCCGGGCTAGTCCTGCGTATTAAATGAGATGCGACCTGGGAAAGCCCACCATCGGGGAGCCCAGAACGGGGACGTCTCCTCTGATTAGTCATAAGAGAGGCCAGCTTTTACTCGGGCCTTGGAACTTACCAGGGCGGTGCTCGGCGCCTCACACACATGAACACATTCATTTATGTATTGATTATTTTAAATACATTTTTTATTGATTTCAGAGAGGAAGGGAGAGATAGAAACATCAGTGATGCGAGAGAATCATTGATCGGCTGCCTCCTACACACCCCTCACGGGGGATCAAGCTCGCAACTAGGGCATTTGCCCTTGACTGGGACTCGAACCATGACCTCCTGGTTCATAGGTCGGCGCTCAACCACTGAGCCACGCCGGCCGGCCACACATGAACACATTTATTCCTCACCACAGCACCCTGGACACTGTTGCTATACCTGTTGTTATCAACTCAGTAAACACTGGTATGAATAATAGCAGGGAAAGTAGTGGACATTTATGGAGCACTTACTGTTTACGAAGGTCGCGCCACGTCTGTGGTTGCCCCCGTCCTGTATCTGGGGAAACTGAGGCTGATGGAGGCAAAGCCCCTTGGCCAAGGTCAGTCGGCCAGGAGGTGGCAGAGCCAGGATTTGAACCCGAGATCCTGGACTTCCACCATGATGCCGTCTACCAGAGTTCAGTGAGTGGCAGACAGCCCTGCCCGGGCAGCCTGTGTTTTATGGACAGTCCTCACACAGCCCTGGGGAGTAGCCGGAATCCATAGCCCATTTTCATCTGTCTGTCTTTCTCCTTTCCTCTTTTTCTCCCTCCCCTCCTTCCTGTTTCTCTTTCCTTTTTTTAGTGAGGCGTCTATAGCCTAGAGACAAAGTGCACAGAGCTTGAAGATGAGGCTTGATGCATGTTTGCCTGTATTTACATGACATCCACGTCACCCTCACCCCGACATCCACATCACCATCACCCCTACATCCACGTCACCATCACCCCGACATCCTCATCACCATCACCCCGACATCCACATCACCATCACCCCGACATCCACGTCACCCTCACCCCGACATCCATGTCACCATCACCCCGACATCCTCATCACCATCACCCCGACCAGACAACACATTTCCACAAGCTGGGAGGTTCCCTGTCCCCCCTCTCAGTCAGTAACCCCCCCCGCCCCCCACTATTCTGACTTCTGTTACCATAGATTAATTCTGCCTGTCTTTATGTTTTTTTAAATATATTTTTATTGATTTCAGTGAGGAAGGGAGAGGGAGAGAGTTAGAAACATCAATGATGAGAGAGAATCATTCACCGGTTGCCTCCTGCACGCTCCACACTGGGCCTGAGCCGCAACCAGGGCCTGTGCCCTGACCCGGAATCAAACTGTGACCTCTTGGTTCACAGGTCAGTGCTCTACCACGCCGGCCGGGCTAATTCTGCCTGTCTTTACACTTCATAGAAAGTTCTACCCGTTCTACAGGCTCAGGGGAAGCGACTTGTCCCAGGTCCCCCAGCTTCTCAGTGGCAGAGCCAGGGGGCGAGCCCACATCTGTCTGTCGCTGCCCCAGGGTCTTCTCATCGCCCTCACCAGAGTCCCCAAACGTTGGTGAATCCATAAAAAGTTTATTTTTGCTCCCAATGGGCTTTTAAAATCACCTGTGAAAACCAGTTCGGCCCTGGGCAACGAGGTGAGCCAGCCCGGCAGGCCCCTGGGATGACACAGTGGGTGGGCTCGTGGCGCCGGCTGAGCGGCAGGAAGCCAGCAGCCTGGAACGTTGCCTGGGACTCGCTCGGAAGGAAGGTGGCCGTATTGACCTCATCGGGCGGTGGCACAGGTGGCTGCACCGTTCATCCCACAGCCCCGGGCTCTTCAGGGCGGCGCCTGGGAGCGGCCAGCTCTGGCCTCACGTAACAGCCTGAGCTCGCAGGTAGTGGGTTTCCCACCCTCCCCAGCCCCTCTGTCTGGGGAGCCGGGGCCCCTGGGCCGGGAGGGGCCTCCCGCAGGGGGCCTCCAGGGCGTGCTCACCTGGGCGCCACACCTGAGGCTCACCTCGCTCTGGGAGCTGAGGTCACCTCCCGAGGATTGCCAAGGGGTGACATCATCCCACAATCCCTCAGTGCTGCTCGGGGCCCGCCTCCCAGGTGGGAGAGGTGAGCGGCTTCAAGGAAGAGTCTCGCTGGGCTGGGAAGGGCGGCTGGGGCTCTCGGTGACCTGGTGACCGTTCTGTTAATCACCCCAAAGCTCATTGTTCAACCACCCTCCTGAGTTGCGACTTGAGGCTGGGGTGGGAGGCGGGCGCTGAAGCATTCGGCCCTGAGATGTCCATCCTCCGGCACGCCCCCCCTGACATCCTGTCCGCTCCTCCCCCTGGCTCATTGGTCCTTCCTGTTCTTCGATGCCGGCCAACGCCACGAGCCTGCCAAGCACAGGCCCTTGTCTCCCCACCCCGCACGCCGTGGCCTCGGAGGCCCAGGGCCCCCCTCGTGTTCCCCGTTGACCCTGGATGCTGAGGACGAGGAGGAGGAGGCCAGGGGAGCCCTGGAGCTCGGGCAGAAGGCAGACCGGGCCGGGTTGGGGTTGCAGCTTAGCCATGCCCTGCTGTGTGGCCTTGGGGATGGGACTCACCCTCTCTGAGCCTCGGTTTCCTGCCTGTAGCGTGGGGATCAGGACATTGCACAGGGGCAGGCGGGACCACGTGAATGCCCACAGACCCGATTGGGCCGTTCCCGGCTTGATGGGCTGGAGGCCCAGCCATTGAAGGCTGAGCTGTGCAGGCCTCGCTCTCGTTCCTAGGAACACCCTTGTGACCCCGGCGTGTGTTGTGAGCGAGCCCACCGTTCCACACTAGGGGCTGGGCACAAAGGCAGGGTCTTAGTAAAAACCAACTGCCCTGGCCCTGGCCTGACTCATTCTTTCCCCAAGAAGTGGCGGCTGGCGAGGCTCTCACAGAGTCGGACTGGTTAGAGCCGCAGTCCTTTACGGACAGCCTGTGCCCAGGACCCCAGGGGCCGCCTGGCACTGCCCGTAGCCGCCCACGAGGCCTGTAGATTCAGCTCCCTCCCATGGAGGGGCGCTGTCTCGGAACCAGGCATCCGACACGGCTCCCAGGGGTGTCTCCAAGGCACCTCGAGCTCAGCAGCCACACGGAACCCAGTGCCTTTCCCTCCCACCGTCGCGCTTCTCTTCCAGTGAATGGTTCCAGAAGGAGACGTCATGCCCTGGCCATCAGGGAGTCCGCCTGCTCTGGCGCCCCTACCCTCCTCTCCATCCCCCCACACCCAGGCCAGGCACCCGCTGTCACCTGCACCTGCAGCAGCCTCCGCCCGGTCTCCGAAGGCACCGTGGCCCCTCCGGGCAGCCTTCCTTGTGGCAGACAGGGAGGCTATTACATGCAGCCTGACCGTGGTGCTGGGCTCGGGTTTAAGTGCGAAGCCTCCTCATGGCCTCGGAGCCCGCCTGGCCTGGCCCGGCCCCCGCCCATCCTCTGACTGACCCCCGCTTCCCTCTGCTCCACACTGCAGCCAGCGACCCCCACTCCCCTCTGCTCCACACTGCAGCCAGCGACCTCCATTCGGTTCCCCAAGAGCCATGCCCCTCCCACTCCCAGGCCTCTGCCCCGCTGTCCCGAGAGACCCCCCCCCCCCTTGTCAGGACAGCGCCTCACCCTCAGACCTCAGCGGCCACCTCCTCAGAGCAGTCTTCCCAGCCACCCTCCCGAGGGCAGCCACACCGGCCGTCCCTCTGGGGGTGGGGGGACCCCATGTCTTTCCGTCAAGCAGTCACCTGGTTGGCTCTTTACCCAGGAGGCGGGGGTGTCTGAGCTCCGGGAGGGCCGAGACCACGGCGTCTGGGTCCTCTCACTCCAGTGCTGGGCAGGCCGGGTGCTCAGACGTACAGGTTGAATGGATGAGCGTCACTCGTGGACCCCAGTGTGTTGCTGTTGTCCCCAACGGCAAGGTGTCCTGGCTGGCCTTCGAGCCACCTGCCCAACACTGTGCCCTCCCCCAGAGTGTCCCCTCCCCCTCCCTGAGACCGGGGACTTTATAGTATGATTATGTCAGGGGTCTTGAGATGGGAAGGTGACCCTGGCCGCGCAGGTGGGCAGGGTGAAAGCACAGAGGGCTTCTCAGAGGAAGGTAGGCTGTGCGAGGGGAGGACCTGCCACGGGCCGGCTGGGAAGAGAGGAAGGGGCTGCGAGCTGAGCGGCCTCCGGACCCCGAAAAAGGCAGGAAAATGCCTTCTCCCCTGCAGAACGAGTCTAGACTCTGACCTCCAGGAGAGCCATTAACTTTTAAGTCACAAACTTTCTGACAGTTCGTTGCAGCAGCCACAGTTCTTTGCTACATCGCTCCGGTGTTCTCAGACCTGGTACCCGCCCAGGGTTTGTGAGAGTTGGGGCGGGAGGGGCGCTCAAGAGAGGAGGAAGGGCCCAGCCAGTGTGGCTCAGTGGTTGAGCAGCAACCTATGAACCAGGAGGTCACGGTTGGATTCCTGGTCAGGGCACAGGCCTGGGTTGCAGGCTCGATCCCTAATAGGGGGTGTGCAGGAGGCAGCCGATCTCTCTCCATCCCCCTTCCTCTCTGAAATCAATTAAACTATATTAAAAAAAAAAAAAGACAGAAGAAGAGGTGACAGCTGCTGAGTTCCCACAGAGAGAGGCAGGGCCGGGATTGGAGCTTGAATCCGACTCATGCTCTTGCCTCCACCCACCCCTCCCTCCAATGCTAGGCCAGCTTTTGGCGGGCACCTGCCATCACCAGCCATGGGACCGGAGCCCCGCTGGCCTGTACCTGAGCAGGCGCAGGCTCCCCCGGAGGGAGCGCAGGCTCTCGGAGCAGGAGTCACCACGCCAGGTGGTCCCCGGCGGCCCCCTGCCCCCTCTCAGCCATGGCTCCCGTGCTTGTCTCCCTCAGTGTGAACGAGCTGTATGTCGATGACCCGGACAAGGACAGTGGGGGCAAAATCGATGTCAGCCTGAACATCAGTTTACCCAACTTGCACTGTGACCGTGAGTATTCCCAGCAGCCCTCCCCCCAGCAAGACATCGCCCCCACCCCTTAACCCCTCCGTGTAGGCAGAGCTTGGGTGCACGATTGGCCAGGCAGCCGGGACCAGCTAAGCCAACAGCGCAAGCTGCCAACCACACGTGGCATGGGATTCACAAACAGCGCAAGCTGCCAACCACACGTGGCATGGGATTCTCCACACTCTTGAGGGGAGAATGTGATCACATGTGAATGCACTTGGTGGTTTTCTGGGATAAAAATCAAGAAATTGCTAACGGGGGTTACCTCTGGAGAGTAGCCGTGTGTGTGTGTGTGTGTGTGTGTGTGTGTGTGTGTGTGTGTGTGTGTGTTGGGGGGGGGGGGGGGGGTCTCTAGTTAGGTTGCCTGCAATGGCTGATTGAGGGAGGACCCTCAGAAGGAACCTGTAAGGGCGTCAGGGAGGTGAGAGGACACGCAGAGATGCTGGGCGTGTGAATGACACCGCGAGTGGTCCCTCCTGGCAGCCAGGGGCCGGGCTGTTATTATCCGCATCCTTGATATCCTTGACCAACGCCTGCAGGGTGGGGTGTGGGTGATGGGTGGGGGGTCGTATAACCCCCCAAGCATCTCAAGGCAAGGGAACCCCCAACCAGCCAAGAGTAGTCACCTGGAAAGGGATGCAGCTCTGAGCTGTCAGCAGCCGCCGGGAAACTTCCTTTTTCACTTCACACTCTATTTTGTTTGTTCCATTTGTTTGAACCAAGAGAATGAATTATTTGTGTAGACAGAACTCATTGGAAGAGTGGTGTGTGGCATCAGATTCTGGCTCTTTTGGTCAGTAAAACTGTGTGATGCTGGCTGAGGAAACCTCAGTTTCCTCACCTGTAAAATGGGCTTGGTGCTATCTGTTGCCTGAAGCTGTTGAGAGGATGGGGTAAGCTGGTTCTTAGGCTTGTGTGCGAGTGGACTGGGGGTCCCCTCTGGGACTGGGGTTCTGGCAGTTCCTCTGCCCCAGCCTGGCACAGAACCCTCCTTGCTTCCTATCGAAGGGCAGCACATCGGGCGGGTCTGCAGGCAAAGATAGGGGGTCCGCCCTGTTACTGCTTTTGCTGAGAATTGCATCACAATCCTGAATCCACAGCGGGGCCCCGAGCCAGGGAACCTGTTGAAATAGGTCGGCTTTATTTTTATTTTATCCTCTTTCTCTTAGAAAAATAACTCATCTGGCAGCTTCTCATTCAGGAACTGGTCATGTCTCTGGAACAAGGAAATTCTTAGGCCAGAGGCCTGGGGCCAGCGGGACAGGGGAGGGAAGGGATGTGGTTCTAGGCTCCGTCCCAGCTCCAGGCAGCGGCCCAAGAGGGGCCAGCAACCTCCAGCGGCGGCCACG